AATAAACCCACAATTAAATGGTCAATTAATTTTTGACAAAGCAGAAAAGAATATCTATTGGGAGAAATATAGTCTCTTCAACAAATGGCATTGGGAAAACTGGACAGCAACATGCAAAACAATGAAACTGGACCACTTTCTTACACCATACACAAAAATAAATTCAAAATGGATTAAAGACCTAAATGTGAGGTCTGTAGCCATAAACATCCTAAAAGAGAGCACAGGCAGGAATTTCTCTGACACTGGCCATAGAAACTTTTTTCTAGATCAGTTCCCTGAGGCAAGGGAAATGAAAGCAAAAATAAACTACTGGGATTACATCAAAACAAAAAGTTTCTGCACAGCGAAGGAAACAATCAGAAAAACTAAACAGCAACCTATGTAATGGGAGAAGATATCTGCAAATGACATATCCAGTATATCCAAAATATATAAAGAACTATAAAACTCAACACTCAAAAACCAAATAATCCAATTAAAAATGGGCAGAAGACATGAGCAGACATTTCTCCAAAGAAGACATACAGATGGCCAATAGGCACATGAAAAGATGCTCATCACACATTATTGGGGAAATGCAAATCAAAACTATAATATCACCACACACCAGTCAGAATGGCTAAAATCAACAACACAACAAACAACAGATGTTGGTGAGGACGTGGAAAAAAAGGAACCCTCGTGCACTGTTGGTGGGAATATGAACTGGTGCAGCCACTCTGGAGAACAGTATGGAGGTTCCTCAAAAAGTTAAAAATAGAACTACCCTATGATCCAGCAATCATACTACTGGGTGTTTACCCAAAGAATACAAAAATACTAATTCAAAGGGATACATGCACCCCTATGTTTATAGCAGCATTAAATAAGCACAATAGCCAAAATATGGTAGCAGCCCAAGCGTCCATTGATTGATAATGGATAAGGAAGATAAAGGATAAGGATATACACACACACATATGTATACATACAATGGACTATTACTCAGCTATAAAAAAGAATGAAATCTTGCCATCTTCAGTGACATGGGTGGGACTAGAGAGTATTATGCTAAGCAAAATAAGTCAGAAAGACAAATATTGTATGATTTCACTCATGTGGAATTTAAGAAAGCAAAAAAAAAAAAAAACGAAAGAAAGACAAATCACGAAATTATAGACTCTTGGGATGCCTGGGTGGCTCAGTCAGTTAAGCATCTGCCTTTGGCTCAGGTCATGATCTCAGGGTCCTGGGATCGAGCCCCGCATCGGGCTCCCTGCTCAGTGAGGAGCCAGCCTGCTTCTCCCTCTGACTGCTGCTCCCCCTGCTTGTGCGCTCTTTCTCTTTCTCTGTCTCTCTGACAAATAAATAAAAGAAAGAAAGAAAGAAACTATAGACTCTTAACCAGAGAGAACAAACTGATGGGTTGCCGGAGAGGAGGTGGGTGGGGGATGGGTGAAATAGGTGATGGGGATTGAGGAGGGCACTTGTTGTGATGAGCACCGGGTGATTAAAATAAAAACTTAAAAAAAAAAAAAAAGAAAGAAATGACTCCTATCTTTAAGGAGTTTATAATCTAGTATGGAGATATATACTTGTGAAAGGTTGAATGTCATGAAATATACTGATTGCAATCCTCTAGTCACAGAGGGGGCTGGTGTTAGAGCTGGGCCTTTCTTTTTTTTTTTTTTTTAATGATTTTATTTATTTGAGAGAGAGAATGAGATAGAGAGAGAGCATGAGAGGGGGAAGGGTCAGAGGGAGAAGCAGACTCCCCGCTGAGCAGGGAGCCCGATGCGGGACTCGATCCCAGGGCTCCAGGATCATGACCTGAGCCGAAGGCAGTCACTTAACCAACTGAGCCACCCAGGCGCCCGAGAGCTGGGCCTTTCTTGATTGCCTCTTTCAAACTGTTATGAAAATTAGGCAGCCTTACTGGAATCCTGAGTTCAAGACTGAAGAACAAATCTGGGCTAAGTTCCATGATTTCTCAAGAACTCATAAAGAACACTGACCTCTGAGTCAGCTGACCTGGGTTCTAGTCCACATTTTGCTAAGAACTTAACTCTGTGACCTTGAGCAAGATATGTAACCTCTTAGGATCATAACTTCTGTGTTAAATGGTAGTTTGGAAGAGGTCATCTCCATAGCTTTTCCTAGTTCTAAAATCACTTTCTGTGTTTGCTCCTAACACATCACAAAAATGAAATGAAGTATGAAAAGGACAGAGCAAGTCAGACATGGTGGGGGAAGAATGGAACTAAAGTTGTGGATGTCACCAACGAGGACAAGCAGTCATTTCGGCATACATTAGAGCAGGACGGGCATCCCTGGACTTGAAAGTTTGGCTTATTTTTTAAGCAACAAGGAACACATTTCTAATATATTTTTCCTTCCTTCTGTACTATCAGTGAACTTGTTCAGCATTTACATCAGTGAACAAGATGGATGCTGGGCCTTCTACTGCACTTGGCAGTGCTTCTTGACACGTGCAAGGTCTCACTCCCCATTCCCATAGTCTGGTTTTTGAAAACTCAACCCTTCCCTCAAACCTGAGTTCATTCAACTCTGGGTAAACCTTTCCTCTCATTCCATGAACATAATCGAGACTAGAAGGCACCAGTCACAATCTCCTCTTCTTCACCTACAAATGCATATATATCCAAATCTACTCTTCTTCTCAAATTGACCCCTCTGATAGGCCAATCTTCCATCTGTGTCCTCTGGGTCTACTTCTATTACTCATGAACTTCTCTCACTCTTTGTTGCCTTCTTCCCTTCAACTATAACCACGCCCAAGACTTTTCCCACAGAAAATAATAAAAGAAAAAGGAAAAAGAAACCAAAAAAATCCGCTTTGACCCTGGATCTCTGAAGAACCACTGTGTATCTCTCTTCCTATTTACTATTTCAAACATAAAAATAATATGGCTAATGTATGTAAAAGTTATAAAGAATGACTTAACAACTGTGTCCCATGACCCAGCTTAAGAAAGAGAACATTACTAACAACCTTGGAGCTTCCTGTTGACACCTCCTTGATGGCTTCTCTCCTTCCTTCCTCTTGAGAAGTAAACATCATTTTGAATTGTGTGTTTAGCATTCACTCACTTTTGTTTTACTATATACTACATACATTTACTACATATGTTATCTTGAAACAATGTAATAGTTTTGCAAATTTTTTTAAACTTTGTATGTATATTCTCAAAATATGTGGATCTCTTTCTCACCATCTCCCCTAGTCCAGAGCCAAAACTCCTTTGCTAAAAGGTTTATTTATAAATAATTAAAAACAATTTCTAATGTTAAAATTCTTTGGAAAGTCAGTAATTATTGAACTAAATTGCCACTTACATTAAATTTTCTTTTGATAGAAAGGAATTTTGATGGTTTTGTGTAATGCAAACATTGTCAAAATCATTAAGTTTTTTGGAAAAACCTGGAAAGACAGTTGCTTTCTCCGTTTACTTCTCCTCCTTCACTACCACGACCCTGAAATTGTATTCGTAGATGTCACCAAATGTTCTCCATATTGTTTCATCAGTGGGAATCCTTAAAATAATATCTGAATAGACCTCTCTTCTCTTCTAGTGCTACGCTAATTGAAGATGTCACTTAGTCACTTATTTTTGGAATTTACCTTCTGTTTTTGGCTTTCATGATACTCTTCTGTCCTAGCTCTCGTCATCTTCTGTAATCTTCTTCCTCTCTTTTGAAGGGTTTTCTCTTCTTTTTCCTGTCTCTTAAACACTAGCACACTTTGGTCCACTGTTCTATATATAATCTTCTTCTTGCAAGAACTCATACACACCCATAGTTCAATTACCACCTGCACGCTGATGACTCTTATCTCTAGCCTGACCTTTGCCCTCAGTTTCAGACTCATACATCTAACAACCTGGTGAAGCAACAAACACACACATAAACACACACATTCTTCTTAGACACCTTGAAGTCAACATGTCCCAACCTGAATTCATCATCTGCCTTCCCCACCAAATTGGCTTCTGTTCTGTATCTCAAACTTGGGTAGAGGCTTAACATCCAGTCATTCCTAAAGTCAGATTTCTAGGACTCATTCTAGATACCCCTTCATCCCCCACTCTGCCCCGCAGTGTCCCCATTTCCCAAGAGACTAGAATACTCTGCTTATTTTGCTTCCCCAAATTTTCTGGTGTTCTCTGTTTCCTTTCTATTCCTACAATGGTTATCTCATTTAGGCTCTCATTGTCTTTTGCCTTGATTACTGTAATGCTTGTAATCCTGCCATCCATAAACCCTTCTTCTACTCTGCCACTGGCGTCAGCTACCTAAAACGTAAATCTGACTACACCATTATAAAATTTAAAATATTTCATTGACTAACCACCACACCGATGTAGTCCGCCCCTTTGCATGGCATATATCCAGAACCTGGCCCTTGGCCTGTCTCTTGAGCCTCATTTCCCATTTCTTCCCACCACAAACCTTACAGTACACACTTTGTTCATGCTATTCCCTCCCCCTTTTTCAGTGCTACCATAGTACCTTATGCATATCTGGATTTTTATCCCTCATCTTGTCATATGAAAATTACACATTTACATGCCTTACTCACTAGACTATAGGTACCTCAGGAGCAGAGATCTTATCTGCTTCATCTTAAACTTCCCACAGCTTAGCACAAAGCTTGCCATATAATAATAGTTCTTGATCTGAACTGAATTGATTCAACTTAGCTGTAATCCTGAATCATGAGGAAACTAGTCCCTAAGTCCAGTCATTGGTACGGCTGCTGCTAACATTATTTTTCATATAATTTTTAGAGCTAGATGAGTCCTTCAGAGATCATCTTGTGCTATGCCTCTTAGACCCACGTATGGGTAAGCCAAAACTATCTGGAATCACATGACCAACATGGTTATCATCCTGTAGTATCAATTTCACCTCAAGATTTTGGGAAAAATGATTTTCACGTTAAAACAGAGATGTATTTTGGGGTAGCATATACTGTTTAGCATTAAGAGAGACTGTACCTTATGCCATGCTGTTTTCAGCCAAGCCTCCATGCCATGAGAGTACAAGTTCTGTGGTGAGTGATAGCGTTTGAGAAACACTAATCTACAGATCACTGTTTTACAATGATCCTGTAGTTTAGCTCTTGTTCTAGAGCCTTCCATATAAAAATAAACAATCCCAGTGGGAACAAAGCATAGGAACAATCTCAACAACAGCCAGAAGAGAGAGATTCTTCATTCTTCATTATCATCATTCTGGGTTAGTTTAAAAAGATGTCTTCCTGATAGGCAGGGTAGGTCTTCTGAAATTAGTACATCACTGTGCTTTCTGCAAAATATACCAGATGGCAGATGAAGGTAGGGGAGAGGAGGCAGAAAAACAACATTAAGAACAGAACAAAGAGAAGGTTTGGGTCAAAGCGGGGGCCAGATCAAAGAGAGTGGAAGGAAGCAAAGGACAGTATAAGTGGGGCATGGAACGTGAGGCAAAAAGAGCATTCAAATACGACTGGTTCAAGATGGTACCAGATGTAGGGTGTTTGCTGATGACCTAAGAAATTATTACATCTTCAGCAAGATGATATGGGGAATTTTCACCCCTGGAAATTCTACCCGGAGTCCTGGTAGAAGATCTTCCCAGTCTGTTTTCCAACACATCTACACATCAAATTCGAGAATGAGGTATCATCTTACAGCAAAAGTGACATAAAAAGATGCAAAAGAAACAGAGGAAACAGCAAGGGGACCATTAGGAAAGGTTAATTTAAAATGGGTAATGGAGTCAATTTGATTCAAGGAACATTTATCCAGGGCCTCTTGTGTATCAGCATGGTTCTAGGTGCTGGAGAAACAGAGATACCAAGGTTGGGCCCTAGCCTGCAAGGGCTTTGCAGTTGTTTTTAAAGGTGCCTGAGAAGGAAGAGCCAACAGTAGAAAATCTGGTATCTCATGCCTAGGCTTTCCAGTGAAGAGGTCACTAAAAGCTAAACCAGGGACACATATTATCTGATGCCTTTAGGTGATCTAAAACTTTCCCAGCAAAGAAAGAGGGCTGAATCTGTCCCAAGTTTGGGTTATCACATGCCAGGCTGAGCAAAGAAAGAAAATAGTATGGATTTGGAGAGTGACTTTCAAGGGCAGAAATTTTCTCCCAAATTCTATAACTAAGACATTCTCTAGAGGTATTGGAAAAATATTTTCTCAATATAACCTCTTAGAGACAAATATTAAGCTAATTATAATTTTCCACCTTAATTAAATCTTCTTCTAAATGACCTGTTAAGGGGTGCCTGGGTGGCTCAATCTGCCACCCAGCTCATGAGCATCTACCTTCAGCTCTAGTAATAATCCCAGGGTCCTGGGATCAATCACCACCCCCCCCATACTTCTCCCTCTCCCTCTGCCCACCACAAACCTTACAGTATACACTCCTCCCCGCTCATCCTCTCTAAAAAAAACCCATATATATATATATATATATCACATATATATATGATGGTAGAAATTTAAAAATTTAATATGAGGGTCGGAAGATTTATTAGAACTAAAATATGAGAGGTTTTTTAAAAATAGAAATAGAAAAGATAAAATAAGAGGGCAGATTCAAGAGCTCTAGCATCTAAGTAATTTAGTGTGAGTTGTAGAAAGATAAGAGGGCAGATTCAAGAGCTCCAGCATCTAAGTAATTTAGTGTAAGCTGCAGAAAGAACAGAGGAAATTATGCAACAGAACAAAACTGAGAACTGAAGAATATGATTTTTAGATTGAAAAGGCCTTTAAAGTACCTAAAACAATGGGGGGAAAAAAAGCCAAAGCCAAAGTCAACTAACAACATCATGATATATCAGAACATGAGGAATAAACAAAAGGAAACCCTACAAACTTCCAGAGATAAAAACAAAACACAAGGGATCAGAAACCAGAATGGCATCAACTTCTCAACCGAGCTATCAAAAGATAGAGAAAAATGGAGCAATGCTTTCAATATTCTGAGGGGAAGTTAATTCCAATTAATATCCTATATTCAGCTAAACCATCAATCAAATGTGAAGGAAGAAAAATGACATCTTGAATGTACAAAGTCTGAAAAAGCAGCCAGGTCTTGTGGGGCCTGCATCTTACATAATTTGAGGAGCCCCTTTAAGAAAAAGTCATAAAATTACAAACACAGAATTGGGTGTGGATGTGACTATATATTTACATTGAGAAAAGAGATCACAACAAATGGGAGCCTTGGAGATTCATGGCTCTTGCTTCTAAGATCTCTTTAGAAAATGTGCCAAAAATGCTTCATGATGGCGACCTGGTTTTTCCTCCCGACTCGTCAACTTGGAACACTTTGCAGCCCTCATAGAGGCCCCGGGAACTTCATCACCTTCAGGATAAATCTGCCTCTCCCTCCATGTGCCCTTTCTCAGGAAGCTATGCTCCAGCAAAACCAAACTGAGTGAGAAGGCATGCAATCCAAGAATCAGAATACAGTACAATCGACAAGGTGGCAGCCAGGGGAGCTCCCAGTGTAACAAGGGGCTCAGAATAACCAGTCCCAGAGAATGCGGCGGGGGGCGGGGGTGCTGAGCAGGGATGCTTCCAAGAAAAGCAAATCAAATTGACTACTTACTTAACGCTTTATTGGGAGTAATTTTACCATCCTGTCAAAGTTTGAGTCAGAATTGTAATGCATGTTCAAAAAGCACTAAGCAACTGAAGAAGAGGTAGCAATTACTAAGTCCAGGGGATAGAAAAAGGTTGTACAAGAAAGGAAGTGTAGAAATCATGGTTTATCACATAGCTGGGTTGTGAATAACATTTACAGAGTCATAATAATGTAAACACCAAATATCGTTATATCAAAAAAATTAGGATATAACTATATTGGGACCTTGCAAGAAAGGGAAGAAAATGTGAGAAAGAATAATGAGGGTATGAGGGAGAGACCCTTATCCTCCCAGGCAGGATGTCAGTAGATACTATCCAGAACTGGGAAAAGAAAGAGAAATAGCCAGTATTAGCATGTTATTTGGGAATATGGTGGTAAATATGATAGAAACGTAGCCGAGAGCATTGAAAATAGTTGCCTCTAGGGAGGTAGCTCAGTGTAGACTTAGTAAGAACCTTGTAGAACTTGTGACTTTTAAGACTACATATTTATTTATATTGACCAAAATAGAAAATTAAAAAAGAAAGTAATAGCCTCAAGAGGAACGAGGCAGGAAAGACGATGGAAATAAAATGAAGGTGCCTCTTCTAAACCACTCCCCAATTCAATGTTTTTCAAATTGTGATCCTGTGACCACCTGCATTCAAATTATCTGGAGTGCCAGTTTATATAATTCAGATTTATAGACTCAACCCAGACCTAAATAATCAGCATTTCTTGGGTGGGACCTCAGAATCTATAATTTTAAAAAGTTCCTCTACAACCAACCACTGTGTTATCTATCACTTTTTTAGTAAACTAAAGAACAACAACAAAGAGTAAAAATAAAGCAACAACAACAATCCATGTAGAAACAAAGAGTCAATGACTCATAAAACATACTACGGCAGGTACTGCTAATTGTTTACCCAATATCCATTCTCCCCTTCTTCTTCTTTTTTTTTTTTTAAAGATTTTATTTATTTATTTGAGAGAGAGAGAATGAGAGACAGAGAGCACATGAGAGGGGGAAGGGTCAGAGGGAGAAGCAG